AAATGAAGGCTTTTGGGGCCTAAGAGTTTTTCGAAACCGCACAAAAGTTAGGGCTTTTCCAGCGCACGGCCACGCTAGGGTCCGACCTAGCTGACCTATGAGGCTTTTCTTTTTTTTGTTTTATGTACCTATGCCACGCCGCCGTCGCAAGCACGACTTATTATCTAGTATTGGTAAAATGCAGTCGATAAATTCATTCATTCATTAATTTATGCCCGTAATAGTCAATCACACTTTTTGGCTATGGAACTTGGAGGGAAAACCTTTTCTTTCATTGTACAATTAATTTCATTGATTGCGCGCGTATATAGGGATCCCTTTGGCGGACGAATAATTGAACCCAATATAAGGTCGGGGGACCACGCAGCGGAATCAAAGATCCGGCCTCGGGAATGACGGTGAGGTCATACCGAGAGGAAGATAAACATCACAGGCAGGGCATCGACGCGGTGTCGTTGCAATAGAGAAGCGGTGGGTTTTCATCCGGCTATGGTACGGTTTTTCCCACCGACTAAAAACGGAAGCAGCACCGCATAGCCACTGGGTAGACTATGTAAACAGTTTAGCTTGATAGGACAATATATATATAAACAAAGAGTAAGGATTGTTTTTGAATAATATATTCGTAAAATTTGCGGACGAATTTTTTAATAAAAAGGGGGGTAATATAACGACGCCGTCGTAGCAATACCGCTATGCGTCTAACCATATTTACGAAGCTTACTGGGAAAAGTATTATAGAAGTAGAAGAATTATAGTGATAAAGGAGATTTTAATATTAAAATGTGTGCAGTACGATTCAACCAGTTTAAAATTTATTTATGAATATAGTAACTAAACAAACTTACTGTGAACTGGGTGAACAACCACGAAGGAATCAATGATGATGTATTATGTAGAGTTCAGACTGTGTAAAGTCTGGAGGTCTAAAAGTAGGGCAAGGGAGGTCTCTGTGCGGTGGGCTATGGCCAGAGGGGCCATGGCTGGCCGCACGTGACACGGGACACCTCCAACACTTACTCAATTACCGTACCCAATCAGCATAACGTTGCTGGCTGGCAATACCCTTAGTCCGTACGTAGTACTATAAAGGATAGCTAGCCGGACCCGCTTTACAAACTTCCTTTCTTCCCTTTTCTTCTTCGTAGAACCTCATTAATCTATTTATAGCCAGCACCTATACCCACTGTGCTGCACCCCTTACATTAGCTCTGGAGGCCAGGCTTCTAAAAATGCCTCGGGCCGAGGGACTTTAAGCGGACTATAGTTACCGGCCTCTAATTAGCTAGAGTTCCAGTATATAAATGTTATCTTGCAAACCGGGCTGAGCTTGCAAAGCTTTTCCTCCTTGTTAACAATATCAAGCTCTGCTCCACATCTACTACCGTGCTATCCCTAGGAAGTAGCCCCGTAACACAATCGTTTTTTTATAATTGAAGTTAATTGCATCTTAGAGCTGGGGTACTATTATAGTACTAAATATCATATCAATCTTTCAACGTCTTAATATTATACTACCGACAAACTAGAAGCTCGTCCATTACTATATTTCCACTCTACTTATATATAAAGTTGAGGAGTATACTACCTTCTAATCTTCTCCTCTTCATACAATAATACGTCTTCTCCAAGTCTTTGCTAGATCTGTATCGTGACAACTTACTTGTTACAATACTCGTACTATGTAATTAATTAAACTGTTTACTAGATTAGCTATAAACTATTCAATAAGCACCGCAACTAGAGCGATCTACATACCACGTATCTTGTTAGATTAGGTAAGGAAGGCGGTTAAGGGTAGTGTAATCTAAAGCACTCACTTAAAAGTGTACTACCGGCTCAGATTCTAACCTCTTACCGTTTCTTTCCTTAGCTTTAGTTATTTTATCGTTTTGTACACACTCGTGGTGCTTTGGTTAAACGCCCCCGCGTTGCATTTTGACACCTTATATTGAAATTTTAAATTATTATAAGAAACTCCTAGGATACGGGGGTCGCTTGAGACTTTTAACTACTAATTATAGTGCCTATTAGTTTAAATAACTAGTTTAAACAAATTAAAAGATTTGATTGAAAATAGAGTAAAACTACTCTGTTGTTGTTGTTGTT